TACTACTTTTTTTTTTAGACAATTAGTATTATAACATGATGTAATAAGAATACAACAATCATATGTACAGCCTAATATATGGTATAATAAAAAAACAAAAAAGGATTTAAGTTGAAGAATTATAATAAATTAAAAATATATAATAATTTCTAAAATTATATATATATAATTTTTATTTTTTTATTACAGATTAAAGTGTAGTTAGATTCTTAGCACAAATTTAAAGTATTAATAACCTTACTGTAATGGTTATAAATAAAATGCTTTTTGATACTTCAAATTTTTTTTTTTCTATAACTCTTTTTAGTTTAGTTTAGTTTAGTTTTTTTTTCACTTTACTATAAGAAAGTGTTATTAGATTGGTAATATTCTATTGTAGAACAGTAGTTAGAAATAACCTTCTAGGTGGTAACTTGTTACTGCCTAATATGATAAATTGCTTCTAGTTACTCTTAGAAGCAGCTAAGAAAGTTAAGTCTTGAAATTAAGTGTATAATATTAGCAGTAGTATTATTATTTTCTTAATAAAAGTACATCAGTACAACTATTTAAGTAAAAAAAAATTATGTAGATTAAAAAGAGAAGAAAAAAAAAAATTAAAAAAAAAAAATTAGCAAAAAATAGAAAAAAAAAGAAAAAACAAAAAAAAACAAAAAAAATTAAAAAAGAAATACAGAATACAATTTTGAAACTTATTATAAAGAAAAGAAGACCCTTCTATTATAAACTTCAAGTAGTTAAACAAGTAGTTTATTTCTGCTTAAAGTAATATAGCAGATTGCACTTAGGTACTAGTAAGATAACTGAATAATATTAGACTTAGTTGTTAAGAATATTTATATAATTACAAATATAATTTTAAATTTTAATAAAATACTAGCATAGCTACTTAAGAAAAAAAAACATCTATATTATAATAATAGATTTTGTTAATTAGTTAAAATAAGATATTTGTAACTATAATTACATTAATATAACTAGTAAATTATATGACATTTGAATAATATTAGTTATATAAAATAATGCAAACTAATATTAAGTAATGCAAATTTAAAATAAGGCTTTGTAGTTATATAAATCTGTAAAATTAAAGACTTGAATAAAAAGATAATACAAATTTCTAATAGTATTACTATAAAGACAAAATTTAAAAAACAAATACTAATATAAAAGAATTAAGTAATAAAAACTTTTAGATAAAAGGTATTATTAACTAAATCACTAAATTTTAAACTAAAAAAAAATATCAGACTAAACTTAATATATCAAAAATAAGTTATAGTTCTTTTAAACTATTTGAATTAAAAGTTTAAAAATAAAACAAAAATATATTATAAAATAGATAATAGGTTTAAATAAACTCTACAAAACTATAGTTCTGTTAATAGTCTATAAAATAAGTAAATTAGTTAATAACAGATATTTTAAGTCTTATTAGCAAATGGTTTTTTTAATAAGAAATAATCTAAATACTAATACAAAAAAAAGCATATATTGTCTAAACAATATTCATAAATATATATAAAAGTTTATAATAATAAATAATTAACAGAGTATTCTTCATATATAATTTAAAAGCAAGCTTTTTTTTGTAAAAACTTCAATTAAATTTCAATAAAGTTAAAGGCATAGCCTCATCATTAATATTTAAAAAAAATAATAATAATTAACAAAGTAATAATTAAAGAATTTAAATAAATAATTATTTAGCAGATTATAAATATAATATTTAGTATAAAACTCTAAAGTAAACTATTTAAATAAACAATTAAAAGTTGTATATATAACTAGTTGTACTTTTATTTTTGTAAAAAAATAATTGTAATAGTTAACTTCAAACAAATTAATAAAAATACTGTTACAAAATATAGTTTTAATAATAATAAAAAATTTATATTAAATTTTAAAATTAAATTTATAAATTTTAAATATTTTATATAAAGACTTTTTCAATATATTCTAACTAAAAAATAATTTAAAATAGTTATTTATAAGATGTGATGATCTAGTGAAGTGAATAGGTTGTCAATCTCCAAGTGGTAGGTCTAGAGTTCAAATTCAGTAATAATGAAAATTTGCAATTCTTTTTATATTATAGTTAACTGTCTTCTGTAATTAGTTAGGATTAGATATCTGTAATCTGTATTATACTAGCATAAGTAGAAGGTCTAAGCATTTATATAACATTGTATAAAGAAATACAAACTGGTACCAGAAGGTATAAACCTAAGATAAGTTCTTAGATTATATAAATCACAGAAACCAAATAGAAAGATATAAGTTTACTTGGAAGCCCAAAGTAAAAAGACAATCTAAACTTTTAATAGTGCTACTGTAAAGACTAGATTTATAAAACAAAACTAGAACTCATAAAGCTAAGCAAATATGTTAGTTTTTGGGAAGGGACCAAATAAACCAACCAGGCTGCTAGAATTTTTGGATTTTAAAGAAAAAGAGTACATGTCAGAGAACATATAAACCAGAGGTATGGTTTCAAGCTACCTTTCTGGGCTATTTGGATTGGCAGCTTGGTAGAACTTAAATTAAATACCAAAGTAGTAGGAATATGTTGTAAAGTCAATACTGAGGTTAAGATAAACTCTACAAGAGCATAGTAGTTTAATAGTATGTTCTGACCATCAGTGTTGGTCTTAGTCATAGTAATATCAGGTTAGTTATAAGAATAAGCTATAGAAGATTCTAAAAGGTTTAGTACAAGGTTAAAAGTTTTCAATATAAGTAAACTGCTTTAAAGACTTAGTGATCATGGCATATTTTCATCAATATTAGTTGGTTTATTGATAGACAAAGATAGGTGTGTGAATACAGAAATTAGAGTAATTAAATATAGAATCTACAAACAGGTTTCAGGTATGACAGCTAGTATAGAACCTTTAAGTGAACTACTTAAATTAGACAATAACTAAAGTTGTATAAGTGGCTAGTTGTATAATTTTTTATAGTTGCCATTGTTGTTATAATGCAACCATTAGCCAAATATACTATTAATAAAATTTTAGATCACAAGTACTCACCTTAATATTTAAAAAAAAAAATAGTTATTTATAGCACTTATTAGAAAATAAAAAATGTAATATCATATTAAATATCTTTTAGCAATACAAATATAGAAAAAAAATTTTTATTTTAGAAATTTTTTTTTGTAATTAAATTTTTACTTTATATTTTAAAGGTTTTACTATAATATTAGATAAATAAAAAAAATATATATATATACTTTATATATAAAATTTTCTATTATAAATTTTATAAATCAAAACAAATATACTAAAAAAAATAAGTTAATATATTTGTACTTATAGGTATATTAAAAATATATATAGAGAATGGTATTTCTAGTATAATGATTAAGCTGTTATTTTTTAAGCAATAAGTTCAGAGTTCAAATCCTATTGGTAGTAAAAATTTGAAAAATGTTCCTATTTTAGCAACTTGTATGAGGTATCTGTGATTGTAACTCTGTAATTCTGGTTGTATCAAGACTAACTTTAGGAGTGTGCAATTTTATACAAATAAATCTGAAAAGTATATACTCTATAAGAAGCTTTATTTAAAAATTTCAAGTAAAGAGATAATATAATCTTTAACAGTATTATCTGTAAAAATCTTGATCTAGAAACAAAAACCTAGAGCAGATAATCTGTATAGGCAAGAACTCTAGGTAAAAGGGTCCACCAACCTGACTACTGATTAAACCAGATATAAAGTTACATCTTATAGAGCTAACTGAATTGGTAGTATAAAAAAACTTGCAAGAGTGTACAAGGTACTAGTAAGGTTGTAAAAAAAAGTACTAGGGCTGTATAAACTCTACAAAGGTGTAACAGTTTAAGAGTTACTTTGAGTACAAGTGTTGGTCTTGGCCATAGCAATACTGGGTTAGTTGAAAATTGGGTAACAGAAAGCTTTGATAGGTTTAGTACAAGGTTAAAGGTTCTTTATATAAGTAAACTGCTTTAAAGACCTAGTAACTTTGATAAATATACATTAATGAAAACTAAAGTAGTTGGTAGGATAGGTAGATAGGTAGATACAAAAACCAAAGTGTTTAAATAAAAGATTTACAAACAGGTTTTAGATATGGTAGCTAGTATAAAACCTTTAAGCAGATTACTTAAATTAGACAATGACTAAAGTTGTATAAGTGGCTAGTTGTACATTTTTTTTATAGTTGCCTCTTGTAACTGTTGTAATAATATAATCACAAAGCTAAAACATATTATTAATAAAAACCTGGATTACAAGTATTTATATTTAATATTAAAAAAAAATTTTAAAAAATGTGTATACTTTATATTTTTGTATTATATAAATCAGAATATAATATATAATTATGATTATTGTATCAGAGAATAAATTATATAGTAGATTGTAGATAATAAATAAAATATGTAATAAACAAAACTTAAATATATCATTAATAAAAGTATAAATAGAGGTAAAAAGCAAAACTAAGAATCATTTTTCTTCACTTTTCTTGCAATAAAAAATGTATAATAAACATATAATAAAAGTAAAAAGTATAATGAAAAGATAGTTACTTCACTTATTCATATATACATAGCCTCAAAAAAGCCTGTACTATATTTGTTTTATAAGAGTTCTATTTTAGATTTCTATTTTTTTTTAAAACATAACTGGTTCATTCAAAAAATTGTCTTATCAGTTTTTTATTTATTTTTTATTTTTTTTATTTTTTATGCAATAAGAAGCATATAACAAATATAAAAAATAAGAAAAATATAGTTGCTTTACTTACCTATATGCATATAGTTTCAAAAAAAATTATATTAGTAGATTCATTTTGTAAGACTTCTATTTTTTGCTTCTAGTAGTTTTTTAATCTGCTTGCTTAAAAAATTGGTTTATCAAACTTTTATTTATCTTTTTTTATTTTTATTTTTATTTTTTATGCAACAAGAAGCACATAATGAACATAAAAAGTATAAAAAAAAAAAGCAGTTACTTTACTTACCCATATGCACACAGCCTTAAAAAAACTTTTATTAGATTTGTTTTGTAAAGGTTCTATTTTTGGGCTTATATTTTTTTAAACCTAGTTAATTTGTTTACCAGATATTTAGTTACCTTTTTTTTTACTTTTTGTACATTAAGAGATGCATAATGAATATAAAAGTGTAATTAAAAGCTGTTGCTTTATTTACTTATATGTACATGGCTTCAAAAGATTTGTATTGGATTTATTTTATTTATGTAATATTATTTTAAGAGTTCCATTTTATTGAATCTAATCAATTCATTTAAAAATTGTCATATTAGATTTTCTTTACCAAAATAGAAAATAAAGATATCTTGAAAACTATTAAAGAGCAGCTCTTAACTAGTAACAAGATAGAAGTGTAAGTATAACTTTTTTAATTGCTTTGATTTTATTACTACAGTATTAGTTTTTTTAATTAATCAAAATTAAAGTAAGCAGAATTTGGTTGAAACAATAAATGCATTGATATTTGGTCCAATATCAATAAAGTAGATTTAACTTTATAATTTTGCTTTGAATCTAATATTATTAGTTCTTTAACTAATTAAAATTTAATTAAAGCAATCAAGAAACAATAGATGCATCATAGATTGGACAAATATTTAACAATTAGAATGAATTAGACTATTTTATAACTCTTTATGCAAAGTTATAAAATTTTGTTAGTATTATATGTAGATTAGAATATAATAATAAAGTTTGCCAAAGCCATCATTATGCTTATAAGCATCAAGGTCATAAATTATGAAGAACAAGACTAGTATTGTTGAAAATCAATAACAAACACAAGTAAACATAGTAAATAATATTAACTAGTTGTTCTAAGACAATAGGTATATTAAAAATTAGCTCGCTGTATTTAAACTATAATAATTATTTAATAAAAGATAAAACAAATAAATTTGCTACTAAATATCAAACCTTTTTTAAAAATATGCAAAAAGATATTAAGTTTTAGACTAAAACAAGTAATATTAATATAAAAACTTTATACCAAATGTTAATAAAATAGTATTCTGATACTTTTTTTTTGCCTCAAGATCTTTTAAATACTATTCAAACCTTTAAACAACAAAATCATATTAAATGTAAAGCAGCTGTCTTGCTTAACTATTTTCTTGAACAGAAGGCTAAAGATACTAAATAGATTGTTAATTGGAAAATTAATATTGCAAATAATTCACTAACTTCTCTGTTTTGGATGTCATCTGATCAACATGATTTGTATTTGTAATATCAGGATGTTATTCAATATGATAATACTTATTCAACAAATTAATTTAAGATATCTTTGAATTTTTTTGAGATAGTAATAACAACAATTAGTTATAATTGGTAGAACAAGCTTTTATGAATAATGAAACAGTAAAGAGCTATAAATGGGTTTTACAAATCTTGATTATAAATACAAAAGTTGTGCCTTTAACAACAATAACTGATAATGATCTTGCTATTAATGCTGCAATAGCTACTGTCTTATCTGAACAAATTATATTTACTATATTTATCATATTGAACAGAACTTAATAAAAAATTTAAAAGACAAACTGAAAGAATGTTATAATGAATTTTTACAAAATTGGTATCAGATACATAATTCATTTTTATACCAACAATTTAATTATTTATAGAAAACCTTTTAATAAAATTTTCAGATGTCTCTTTATATCTTAATTATGCTCTTTTTGGTAAAAAAAATAGTAGACTTTCTGGCATATTTCTAAAGTTTTTATTGCAGAAATGCAGTTAATATATCATGTTGAAGGTCAAAATAGTATCATAAAAATTTAATAAATAACAGTACTTTTTTAATTAATTTTGTAAAGCATATTGATAAGTAGATTAATCATATATCTACTTTTATTCAATATAAAAATTGGATTCATTCTATTATAGGTTCTATGCTTATTCATGCTAGCTCTAAATTTTTATCTAAAATAGATAAATAAATTATTTCTTATTTAGTTCCAATCTCTGTATCTATTCAATAACAAAAGATTGCTCAAGCTATATAGTATAGATTATAGCTTATAAATTTTTAAGACTTAGAATTTAATTTAATTTAACAAACTGATCTGATGAAATAATTTGATTTGAATGAACAATCTATCTTGACTGAGGAATCTGATACTAATAAAATTTTTAATACCTTTGTAAAAAATATTGTAGATACACTTGTTATTTTAGTTAAAAAACTAATATAATCTATAGAAATTGAACTCATTTATGAAGTTTGAAAAATTATTTAGCACAGGTGTAAAGCAAAAATTATATTATATTGTTTAAAAATAATTCACATCTATGCATGTGTCTTGGTTTAATTTAATGTAGTTTTGTTTGCAGACACTTTTTTTAAGTTTTAAAAATATTTAATTATGCATTATTTCATATTATGCTTATATCAAAAAGATAGTATGTTGATGAAAAACAAATTGAACTAACATCACAAACATGATTACATCCTTTTATTATTGAATTAAATAATAATATAAACTCAAAAACTTTGATTCATAATAAACAACACTTTCCTAATTTGTCTTTTAATTTATTAACCATTTTTTTTAATAAAGCTTATATTAAAGTTTATTATTGCAAAGCATATATTACTATTAACAAATTGTTAAAAAAAGCTATTCAAGCTAAACTAGATGTTAGTTCTGGTGTGATTCAAGAGCTAGAGGATTTTATAAATAACTTTATAACTAAATATGCACTAAAAAAGAAAAACAAAAAAAAAAAGGCAACAGAATAATGAAAATAAGACTACTTTAGTTTATAGTTCTAATAACAAAATTTTCATTGTAGTTAAAAATCTGGTAGTTTATTCAAAAAAGTATGTTTCAAGAAAAAAACATATTAAAAGTTCACATGAATTAGAAAGTAAAAATAGGTCTAGTGCTAAATATTTACAAATACAAAAGACTAGAAAACTAATACAATGTTAACAATAGCAAAATACTAAACATACAAAACTAGTTATAAGATATAATACAAATAGCAAGACATTTTATATTCATATTAACTAACAAATCATATACTTGTCACTTGCATTGACTATAATAAAACTCTAAACTATAACCTTTAAATTTACTGTATTGTAAGGTGAATTTAGTTGGATTTAAATTTTTATAAGTTAAATATAATATACAAATTTGTATATAAACACATTAAGATAGTATATATGATAACAACTCTTTTTAGTAATTAGAAAGAATGTATATATTTTTTTTTTTACATTAAAATTATAATAGGTTTATATAGAATATTTATGTTTTAAATTTCATTTATTATATATATTGTTTTAATTTTTATTTATATACTAATTTAGTTGATTTTATTAACTATATTATGAATTTAACAATTATGTTACATTGTTAATAGCATAGTTTGTATAAATTTTTAATACTAATACTAAATTTTGATGCATAAATAACTTAATTTTTTGGTTATTATATACTATTAGCTAACTAATAACAAGTTTTGTAAATATCCGAATAGAAATAACCACTATTTAGATTAATAGTATTATTATTATTATTATTTTTATAGTTAAACTAGTCTTTTGAGAACTAGAGCTTTTTTATTTAGTATAGTAGAACATGGTAGCTCATAGTGTTATCCTATATCTACTTCTTTTAAAATAGTAGGTAACTAGAGCGACCTTAGACAGTGAACACTTTTTGTAACCTCACTTGTTACTGTGTTATAACTAAGTTG